GAGACAGGCCCAGCAGAGCCCTTCTCGGTAGTTTTAAAGCTGTTACCTTGGCAGGGACCTTGCTCGGGGCGCTCCGGAAAAAAGAGGTTTTCGCTGTGAAAAAACAATCCTCGAGGTCTTCATCCAAGCTACAGTACCCGCTGCTCATGCTGCTGCCGATGGTCATCGAAGCTCAGCAGAGGCGAGAGGCTCCGGGGGCTCGCCGGGGGGCTCGGGGGGCCGGTGACCATCGGTGGTCCCCGCTCGGGCTCCCGCACCACCAGCGAGCCCGCTCCTCACATCCTCAGCTCGCCGGTGCTTATCTGCCACAGCTCCTTCTGCTCATCCTCCGGAGGCAGCGGAGCTGTTTCTCTTTAACAGGCAGCCGTGCCGGGTAACCCTTCCCTCTCCTCCTCCACCCGCCTCCCTGCGCAGCGGCGCTGGGGCAGCAGGGAAGGGGCAGAGCTGCCACTTTGCTCCGGCTCCTGCCTCCTGCCCTGGTAGCGCATCCTCCAGGGCTGCGGTTGCATCTGCTGCCTCAGGGAAGCAAATCCAGGCTGGACCCAGCCCGATCACGCTGCTGAAATGTGTGTGTGTGTGGGGGGGTGGGTCTGGTGAGGATGTGACCTCGGACCCTCCCTGGGGTGCCCGGAGCCGCTGGTCCATCACAGTCCGGGAGGCAGCGGGCACCTCTCCGCTCCACGGCTCATTTTAGAGCAATGGGAGCGATTTCAGCAGCACTGAGGCACCTTCGACTGCAGCCCAGGAAAAAAGCCCTTCAGCTCCTTGGTCCTATTTGCAAGAAACACTCTCTCCAGACGGGTTAAAATGATGTGCTGGCCTTGGAAAGAGCCACAGAGCAACAGCAGCATCGCCGCTCCCCTCTCCCCCCCTCAGCCTTGCGGGAACCCAGCCGGGCACAGACCCGTCCCCAGAGCTGCCTCCTCTGTCCCCCTCTGCCCCGGCCCCTCCAGCGCTGCCACCACCCCGCTAGTCCTCTGCATTTTACCCAGCAGCTTTTAAAGCAGCTGTGACCCTTCCCCCTTGGTGAAGATCTCTGGTATTTGTGGAGGTGGGCAGGCGAAGGGCTCTGCTCCCCACAGGCTATCATCGTCCCTTGGCAGGGGCCGTGCGTCCACGGGATGCAGCACACGGGTGGGGATGCAGCACATCCCAGTACAGGCTCCCCCCACCCACCCAGAAACCAGCCTGTGTTCAGGAGCAGGTTGAGGGGACTAAAGAACAGCCCGACACACCGTGTTAGGAAGGATTCTGCTCAGGCAGTGCCGTGTTAATGTACGTGATAAGAATCCTTCAGAAAAGGAAGAGGGAACAAGGCCTGAGCGTATCGTGCCACCAAATAAATCCATCCTATGCCCACCCCTCAGATACTTCACACAAGATCCGACCAGTCCATCCAACTCAGAATAAGGAATTACAAGAGGCACCACAAAGGGCAGGGCACAAGTCTGAAAACCATCCAGGATGGTTTTCATGCCTGGATCTGGAAAGGAGGGACTGGAGAGAGCCTGGGGGTGATGGAGAGCTACAGAATCGTGGGAGATGTTCACGTGAAGAGCGCAGTAAGGTTAACACCGAAGGAGGAGGGCTTGTCCAGGCCGTGGGCCGCCAGATCTGCAGAACTCATCACTAGGTGTTCTGGCGGTGGATGTGCAAAGTCAGACTCGTTCAGAAAAAGCTCCCTGACAGTGACTGACGATGACAGTTCTGATGGAAGCCCAAGGATGCCCCCAGCGCTGCTCGCAGGGAGGCCGCGGCCGCAGCACCGTCCTCACCCTGGCGGTTCGGGTCTCTCCTTCAACGCCCACCGGGCGCGCAGGGAGAAGGCGCCACCGTGCCCAGACTTACGTCGATTCCTTCGTGTCCTTTTCAAGGCACAACTCTCACCGTTGCGAGGTGCTATTTTTACACCAGGCCAGCGAGCGCAGGGAGCTGGCAGGCAGCAGCCTTGGCTCTCCTCTCCAGCTTGACTATCTGCAGTGGGACCATGAGCAAACCACTCCTGTGAACCGGGGCTGTAACTCACCCCTTTGGGTCACGGGGTTCCCTCGACTGGTCCAAGAGGGCTCCAAGATCCTCACGCCAACTACGAGCCGCACATGAAAACCTCCACCCCTCTTGATAGGCTGCAGATGGTGTTCCTGCCCTTCCATCTGTATCTGGTCGCTGAAGGACTTAAAATTGCCACAAGGCTTCGATAGCTCCGTACCCCCCAGCCAGCAGCATCCCGTGAATACAAACCGGGATGTCAATGCGAAGACTAGCAAGAGGATGCAACATCTGCATCTCAAAGAGGAAGGCAAGAATCCAAATGGCACGTTTACAAAGCGACTTGTAACAGTGCAAATAAATAAGCTATCCTCTTAGCAGCACGCGCGCTTCTGCAGTGGCACAAACCTCCCCAGCTTCGCAGGGCTATATTTAGATGAGAAAGAGGCTTAAATCGAGCATGTGCAACACGAGCAGAAAGTGAGCGATGGGCTGATGAACGGGACAGACATCGAGTCTCCACTGATGCCCCAGCCCTGAGCGTTTCACAGGGGGAAAGGCTGCAGCCAGCTCTGCAGTGCCCCACGCGAAGCCGGACGCGCTCCCACCGCACTGCTCCAAGCAGCCCTCGCCTTCCCATCACGTCCACCTGCTTGGGACATCAGCTCCGTAAAAACCAACCAAGCCAAAAAAACCAACTAATTTTGACCTGTCGGTTCAGCAGCAGCTCCAGCGAATGGTTACCTGCACAAGAGCCCCCAGAGAAACCCCCCACCAGTGACCTGCACCAGCTCGCAGGTGGGAAGCGCACAACCAGCTCTGCCAAAATCTTTGGTGCTGCTGAGACCAGCTGAGGCTTTTGTCAGCTTCTGTGAGTTGGGATTTCACCCAGGGAGGTTAATCTGGGACCCAAACGTAATGCACTCAAGTACTTCTCTGGATCAAAGCCCAAATTATTAATGCCTGGTATTACATGGTAACAGTACTTCACTACGTGATATTAAAGTGGCTATTTCTCTGATGCTTCAGGTTCTCTTACATTTAATACTGTTTAATGACTTCCAGCTATGCCAGATATTAATACGGATTTCTTGTGTTTCCCCCCACAGTGTATTCAGGCCCCCTATTACTCTCCTTCTGGAATACTGGCGCTGTTTTCCCTCCAACCTTCTTCCAAGCAGCAAAAGCTGTTTGGCCAACAGAAACACACCAGAACGTGGCTGCGTGCTCAGCTCTACGGGCTCAGATCAAGTAAACCCGAGGATGTTTTTTTTCCCCTGATTATCCATCATCCACAAACCAGAACGGAGCCTTGTTGCAGCGATTTACCCCCGTTCACCCTCCAAGCAGCCCACGCGCCTCCCGCCCCGCGGCCCTGCAGCCCTTCCCAGGTAACGAGGCTCCCGCCAGCGCTTTGCTGCGCGGAGGGTTCAAAGGTGCAATCCCCGACCAGGACCTCGGCATGGGTTTATGGATTTCTGTTGGCTGCTGTAATTGGAGAGACTTTTGTTTCCTTGGCACAAAATGCCTCCCCCTTCCCAGGATCACACCAGAGACATGTCAGAGTGATGAACTGCCACGAAGCGCAGGCTCCGTGTTTATTATTAGGACCATCAATAACCCCCGGCTGGTGTTATCACCCTGGAGGAGAAATAAGCCTTTCTAATTTTTCTCAAAATCAAGCTTTTCTCGTGCTCCTGAGGGAAGCCCAACAACATCCAAAGGAGACGTAAACACACACAAATCTGGCTTATACAGACACCTCACGGCTCAGCGGAGAACCCAGAGTCCCTTTGTCACGCACAACCTCCAAGATAAATCCCATCGAACTTTCAGGTCCCTTTCCCGACCATTTTCCTCTGAGCAGCAATCACCCAGCCACAAGCCAGCGAGGCCAAGCTTGGCTTTTGCACATCAAAGTGCAGACGACAACGAAATCCCGCTGCTGGCTCCTCACACGCCCAACAGAAACCCCCCGTTGTCTTCGAAAAAGTGCACGTTCCCATTTCCAGTTTTGCACCAGTGCATCAAGGTCCTCCACAGAGAGGAACACGAATGCGCCGTTGTGATGAAGGAGAGAATACAGTTTTTTTTAAAAAAAGCAGAGAGAGACTGAAAAGGCTCTGTGGAGGTCAGATCCGCTTCAGGCGGGTTTCTAAGCAATGTTTTAAGCTCCCAGCATTAACTAGCCCACATCTCCTCCCGCGTGGCCCCGCGCGGCCTCGCTGCGCCCCATCCCACGCGCTGCAGCCGGTTCCCGCAGACACCACGGACCCGCGGGGGGATTAAGCCAAGAGCTAAACCTCCCAGAGCAGCCCTGGGGATTACTGCCTGTCCCTAATACAGATTGAAGGGTCTCAATCCCCGGGGACTACTGAAACTCTTAAAACAAGGAGCTCCTCACAAACCCCACACTCGTGCTCTGGTGAGAGGCGGGAGGAACACACCTCTGCTGCTCCTCTGATGCACTTTGCACCCGCTGCAGGGGGGTGATTTAATTTCAGTTCCAATCCTACCTCACAGGGCACTGCGCCTCTCCCACCCTGCTCCGGACAGCCTGGCCGAAGGCAGCATTTTAAACCCGACCTGGCTCCACAGATGGGTTTAGGGCACGGGGGGATGCCCACACGCACCCCCCCCATCACGCCAGGCAGGGCGGATGGGCCAGATGGACGCACTAGTGGGTGCTGTCAGGGCCCGCGGGGCTGACCTCCCTCCTGCAAAACCCTCTGGGAGCACGGAATCACCTCTCTGAAGGAGATGCCACGGGTCACCGTGAGGCTGCTTCCCCCTCCCCGTGTCCCCCCGCCCAGGCGTACCTGGCTGTGGGGCGGCAGGAGGGTGCTCTCGGGCGAGAGCTGGCCCTGGCACTGGCCCGGCCGGCGGCAGTCCAGCTGGATGAGGCTGCGGCACTCCTGGTGGCACGTGTATCTGCAGTCTGCATGGGGGAGAAATGAGAAAGTGAGGTGCCCGAGCCCCACAGCCTGCGGCCGAGGAGCAGCAGGGGAACCCCGGGAAGGGACCAGACTCTGCTGGAGGGCAGCCCGATGCTCACGGGCACCAGCACGGCCAGAGCTGCTGGCCAGGCACGCGTGCCCATTCAGGCACACTCCTGCAGACAGGGAGAGGAACCAGAATACCTCATCCAGAGCAAAAATCGCTCCCATGCCCTCTCCCCAGGGAAACTTGTGCTTCTTGCTGCAGTGCACGGGCGGCGTCCCTGTCCCCTGATCTGCTGGCATGCTAACACACAACAAAGAACATTCCCGGGTCCCACCAGCCCTCGGGGTACAACACCCCCCAGCTATGCTCCTGAGAGATGTCACCTGCACAACACCTGCAGCAAAAGCTTGGCCACTTCACGGGGAAAGGGTGCTTCACCTTCCAACATCAGGGGGGAAAAACCACTTCTTTGTACGAGACAGAGGTCAAACTATTGAAGGTCACTAAACCTGAACGCTTCAAGGGCAGG